GACTCTAGCTTCTTGAGTGCTTAGCAAACCTCCCAAGTGCATCCATAACTCAACAGTGTACGCTGTGGTGTTTACCATTGTTTTATAATATAACACTGGTACATTGTAGCTAAAAAGTTCCCTTTTATTTAACAAATCTTACGCGAGTAGAAAAAACAAGCGCGCGCGGAAAAACAGTCTTTGCATTTGCGTACACCCATGGGAAAATGGGGGACGCTAAATTGACCAATCAGAGCGCGCGCTTTACTTTGGTGATGTTATAAATCTTATTGGATGTTTTGTTGTGTAGTATCGCCGAGTATTTTTACGAGTTTGGCTATATTTCGACGAGTTCGTAGGGCGAGTCAAAATACAATTAACGAGTGAGAATACTCAGCGATACGACACACCAAAACGTCTAAGTCATTTATTATCCAACACGTCAAATTGTTATTTCAGTGCGGGCGATTTTCACGGATATTTATTTACGGGGAGTACGTGACAAAAGTATGCGAAGCGGAACGGAATTTGTGCGTTGTCCTGTTGCTGTTTGTATTTTCTTCAATAAATGATGAAATTTCATTGTCATCTATCTGCTTCACTTCATTCGATTTATCTATTCAACTTGGATCAATATTCGCCCGCCATTCCGACTCTTCGTCGTCAGAACAATAACTTAAATTGTCCGCCATTTTTTTTTTGTAACTTCAGTCCAATTCGTCGCTCGCGCGATGCGAGAAAATCTGTCTAACTGGTTCTCTGGAGTACAAATACAGCGTGATATTTGTACTCGTCTTGGACGTTATTTGTACCCTATGGAGTGTAGTTGGATAATGATTATCAATACTCTTTATTGGTAAATGGTAGCAGATCAAAATTTGGAAATAAAAAGGATCCCAACCTTAATTATAGTCTAACGGCGACCAAACCTTCATGGAAGACTTGGACCCATTCCGCTGTTTTGTCAACTGAAGTTAGGGAGCTGGTGATATGTTTTATCTTTACGCATATTTTAATCAAGTTCATTAAAGATCACCTATCGATGTGTTTACCAACACATTATTTTGTTCCCTCCTTATTTCTTTATTTGCTCAATATAATACCTTTGATCCCTGGCATCATGAGAGATCCAGTTTTAGTCGGGTACTTTCCACTAAAACCAGCAGGAATCAGAGGTGTCTTCAGCAAACCAGCAAGCTCCGCTGTAAAATAAAAAGTCACAAATATATATTCTTTAAAATTGTTACCAATACATGGATGCAGCACTTGATACACCCTATGTTAACGCTAACCCACACAGGGCAGGAAATCAAGACTGTTTACCTCCTTGATCTTAATCGCCTTTCACAAAGAACTCAAATGTAAGACCCCTTAGAAAAATAAGCCCCACCCCACCCTACTGCTCCAAACTAAATGTAACCCATTTCAACTGCACCAGTGTATCACCAACCCGCAAGATCCATTATTTTTTGAGGGACGGTCAACACAACTATTGTCTGCTAACGTTTGATTACCTTTAATTTGCTTCAGCTTTACTTGTCGCACTTTTCTTTCTCCCTGATCTCCGAGATCTTCCAGTCTGTTCAAATTCTCCTTTAAGGAAGATAAACTGCTCTAGACAGTGTATGAAACGGGACATCAAACCTTCCAGACAGTAAAGTTATATGATATCAGGCTTCCAAGTTCCGCCCGATCCATTGAAACTTCTCTAACAATAACTGCATTCAAAACAAGTCCAAACCGCCGAAGACTGGCTACTCACCCAGTTAGTCCCAGACTATGTGATAGCATGCAAGAGCGTAATCATCAATGAATAATTTGCTTGCACACGAAAGAATCATCTCATCAAAAAAGATACAAATCTTCGTCAACTTCAATATCCATGGCTTTGGCAGAAGCAAGTATCCAGTCATTACTTGACTTCTTGCGCTTAAACCTGTGAATATGAAGCAACAGCTTCAGTAAGTTGAAGGTTAAGAAAACGGAGATGGGTTTGGGGGGTAGAGGGGGCTGGAGAGGAATCAGAAACAAAGAAAAGAAGGTCCGTAACGGCGTGCATAATCCTTGATGAAAAGAAGTGCTGCGCCGTCGAGTTCCACTATCAAATTAGGCCAACTTGTTCTTTAGCGAAAAAAAAGAGGGTTAAAGAAACCCTTAAACATAATCGGGAAATTTCCCTTTTTCGCGTTAATTTTCACCTACTTGTGTTCTTCCTTGTCAATCTGCTTAGCGAGAGAAATTCTTTTCTTTATGGATGACATAAAAGACACATCAACTGGAAAGGAATCTAGCTCGTTTCCTGCAACACACAAGTAGATAAAAGAAAATAAAGAAAACAAATATGATAAAAAAAAACTGAAATAAACGAACGAAACGAGACTGTAAGTTAACCCTATGACGCCTATGAATGACCACAATCCGCAACAAAATTATTGACACATTGATCTGTTCAACCACCTATTACTTCAGGTTTATCTCTTTTGCCCTCGTCAAGNGAATAAAGGAAATGATCACCAACTAAAGAAGCTATTGACTGTTAAACAAATTCTCTTTATCAGAAATGACTAAAGAAATGACTAAAGAACAGTATAGGAAATATGCATACTTATGTGAAGATGTAAAGGCTCAGCAACCAAAAATGGAAATTATACGTCAAACCTTTACGGGAGAATTGCAAACAACCTTTCTTTAATTAAACTGTTAAAGATATGCTTTGGACATCATAAAAACACATCACCTCCATTAAGCGCCTTCATGATTTTCCTGTACGATCCCATTTCTTCTGGGCCAACAAGAACGACACTCAAACCTTCCCTGCTCGCTCTCGCTGTCCGTCCACTGCGGTGAATGTAAAGCTGTAAACCGACATAGAGAAAGGAATGTGGGATGACATGAAATGGTTGCGCAAATGTTGGTGGTTACATTATTACATTACATTTCACAATTAAATGAAATACAACTGGGGACGGTAAACAAAAGCTAACCGATCCTCTCAGAAAAACTGCATATAGAGAACTGAGTCAATTAATTAATTCAATTAATTCATGAACTCGCAATTATTCGCGCAGGGCGAAGTGAATATTGCTGAAAAAATTCTCGAGAAGAAGTGAAAGATATTATACAACAATATTCACTTCGCCTTCTGTTGTGAGTTCTGTGAATAGAAAATGCATTTCGCATGTTTTGTTGCAATTGTGTTGATTACTTACTAAGCGGTTTTAAAAGGTTTCTTTAATTCAGTCGGCAAAAACTTTATATATTTTCCTTTGAAAAGTGTTCTGCCAAGCTCAATAACATATATTGTGCTCTTCGCGATTGAATTTTCTCCTTTTGTGTTTCTCACTTCCTTAGAAACATTGACAAAAGGCGAGGCAGCCATTTTGATATTCAATGTCTCTGCAAAAACCACCTCGCGCGAGGTGATTATGGAAAGATATGACGCAATCTACGGCCAATCAGAACGCGCACATCTCGATAATCACCTCAGCAATTATACCAAATGAAATAAATCATATTTTGACCTCGGTAGATAAACATCACAGATTAACTAAAATTGAAAAATAGAAAAAGACAAAACAAAACAAAAATGCAGAAGACGAAGTTTAAAAAATATGTAAATAGATACAATACAAAAATAATAATAATTAAAATTTTCTATTGCGCGCTTTCCATGAAATGATCAAGCGCGCGTTACATCTCAATAATAGTTATTAAATATATACTACGATAAAATTAAAGCATACAACATATGTTAAGATACTAGCAACTATTATGATAAAATTTTCATAAAAATTAATAAAAAGCTTCCGTAAAGAGGTGCGTTTTCAGGAGGCACTTAAAAATCCCTAAATCTGTAATAGAACGAATCACACGCGGTAATGCATTCCAAAGTGCCGGAGCTACGACCTGGAATGATCTGTTTCCTGATGTAACCCTACTTCTATAAGTCGGCGTTGCGAACAACAAACCATCCAAGGAAGATCTTAATTTATAAATTCCTGGTCTTTTAATCGACACAAGTTCTCTTAAATACGTTGGTGCAATTCCATGGATGGCCTTAAAAACAAATAGCAGAATCTTAAAACTAATGCGTTGCCTAACCGGTAGCCAGTGCAGCTCGTACAGCAACGGCGTTATGCGATAGTAGCGTGGCGCGCGACAAACTAGTCTTGCTGCAACATTTAAAACGCGCTGAATCTTATTCAGGTGAGAAGCTGGCAAGCCATATAAAAGATTATTGCAATACTCTACGCGCGAGATAACAACCGCATGAACGAGGGCTTTAGTGGTTTCTGTACTTAATAACCTACGGATTCGAATTATATTATGCAAATGATAGAATGCCGAGGCGCATTGTTTACTTTCGTGGAATGACATATCCAGATTACGATCAAACCATGACCCAAGATTTCGCGCAACTGATTTC